TTTTTTTTTTTTTTTTTTTTTTTTTTTTTTTTTGTAGGAGGAGGGGGGGGGGAAATTGACAGAACTTCAAGTTGGAGTACATGCAGCAGAATTCCAGTCTTTTGGAGGGAAAAATGTCATATTTTACTTTCTTTGAAAAAAGAGTATCAAGGAAAATCGTTTTGCTTTGTGTACGCTTTGAAACAACGAAGCCGACAACCAGTTGAACTTAGTCGCTTTTATGACGGTTTAAATCGACAAACTGATGCGTCCGTTGGCTGCAGTAGTGAGGAAGAATTTGTAAAGACGGTTTTTTTTTTGTTGATATGCAAAGCTTAGAAGAAGCAGCAAAAAATTGAAAAGAAGGAAAAAAATTGGAAATCAAATAGATAAAACGCAAATATAAATTTACTGTTGTTGAAAAGTAAACAATATAGAAAAGAAATTTTTCTTCATTTTTTCATCAATTCATTGTCCATAGTTGTTCAATCTAGTAAATTCTTCAACTGATCATTTCAAGTGCTAAAACTTCTCTTTTTTTTTTTTACATTTCTTCTGAAAATTCTTTTTTTTAGTACTTATATTTTATTTTCCATCTTTCTTCAGCACTATTTTTACCTGTTATAAGTAGTCTATATAGTTTCTTTGACTTTATTTCTAACAGGCTAGAAACTAAAGCAAAGGTTCAGCGAATAGTCGCTGTGTTGACTCCGAGTAACATCTGTACTTGTCACCCGGTGCATCAGATGCACTCATTTTTTTATTGGTGCATGCTAATAAATGTGACTGTAGTTTGCACCTCCGCTCTCCTGTTCTCTGTACATGTGAAGGTTTGGTTGTATTATGACTAACAACGATGAATTGTATGGTTCACCGAAAAAAATGATTCAAAAGCGGTTCGTGTAATCAGTTTTTGTTATTAATTTTTACTAAAAATGATTAAGTAATGTGAAAAAAAATGGAAAAAAAATAAGGCAAAAGTTCTCTGTAATTTATTAATTACATAATTTCATCTTCAGCAATACTAATTTAGTTTACTAGTCATGCGGCACAATCTTTTTTGTCTGCTATATCAATACCGCTGCTTACACATCTGATTTATAAGTTCTTTTTTTCTTGCATTAATTCGCAAAATATTTACCTTGAGAATTTGTAAGATTCGTGTTCACTAGTTTAGTATCTGTTGTCTGAAAACAATTATTGTTTGAGCGTTTAGAATTGCAACATTAGATTATACTTGCGTCTGCAGTATATGTGTGCAATATATGTGTTTCTGTATCTATGCATGTATATTCCCATGAACACTCTTTTAGTATACAGAGGGTATGCTTCAATAGTGGAAAATTACTAATAGGTTTTTTTTTTACTTTATTCGTTTTTTTTTCATCTTCTTAACGTTTTATACAGCTAGTTTTTTTTGTCTTTTATTTCATTTTGATTTTTGTAAAGCAAAAAAGAAGATTTCTATTTTATTTGGTTTTGGATAGCGCTTATAAAGTTTTTTGGCTGCTGCATAAGTTGTTGTTGTTCGACATCGATAGCTTCTATTAGCTTAGGATAGGCAGCATCGAAAACAGAAAAAAAAATACGATTTAATTTAGTTCTTTGTACTAAGGAAACGCATTTTTGAAGGTCAAAAGATAAAGAAATTTTGGCTGTTTTGTTTGGTATTTTAGATTGCCTAAAATGCACCGTAAATGTACATTAGCTGTTACATGAAAACAGTACTTTATAGCTGGATTTTTGAAGTATATCTTTGATCAGCTTGATAGAAGCTGAAGGGATGGGAAAGTACGTGTTGGTAGTGTGTTGTTTGGTATACGTCTCAATGGTTATTGCATTTTTTTCGCCAAAACTTTTACAAATTTTATTTGTTGTTTTGTTAATAAACCATCTCTGCTGTTCTTCCTTTTCAATAGCAGTTTGAATTAACTGCCATCGTTGTTACTGAAAACACTAAAAAGACAAATTTTAAAGTACAATTAGGTCTTTTTTTTTGTCTTATAATAGAAGTGTGTGTGAAATAAAAAAACGCTTTTTATACTGTTTTTTTTCGCTATGATAGTGGCAGCTATACTGCCTTCAGAAAAGAAGACAAAAAAAAAGGGATTGAGCAACTGTAATAATATTTTTAGGCAGCAGTGACGAAAGCGAAAAATGGTGTGTTAAAATTTTTTTCTTCTGTATATTTACTTCTGACTGACTCTATCCATCGATTGAAACTGTTTTAAGCGTTTGTTCGCTGCACCTATTCTCTTCGACGATTACACTATCGGAAGTTAACTAACAGAGTATCAAGTAACGTCTTTTATTTTATGCTAAAAACTGCCTGCAAAGCAGCAATATTGGGCAAAAAAAAGATAGCTTGATATTCTGTAGGTATACCAAAGTGTAAAGCTCTTTTTGATAATGGTTGAACAGATGCATAAGTGCATTGGAACAAAGACCTTGAAATGGCTGCTGGAGCGCAATGTATTTTTTTCTTTTTTTGCCTTTACTTTTTAGTTTATTCAGTAGTAGTTGTGGGTTTTTTTGGTGGTTGCTATCTGAATAACGGTACATCAGATTGATCACAGTAAGAAAAATTGGAAAAATAAGCTTTTCTCCCTTTTTGAAAAAATAAGTAGTAATTCTTTTTTTATTTTCAGCTGTCTCTGTTGTTCTTTTCTTTTGCATTTTCCGACTTATTTCTCCAAATTCATTAATGACGAATTAAGCAATCAAATTTTTTTCCTTGCGAAACGTAAACTATGTTGCTGTATGTGAAATTTTTTACTTGTTGTTAAAGCTGTTTTGATATGCTTTTTTGTGCTGATTGGATCAAACGTTACTTTTACACATACCGTAAACTTTGTCGACGGCATACCTATCATACGGTTGATTAATTTTGCTATGTTATCAATTGCAAAACTATAAAGTATTAACTGTTTATACGAAGTCTATGTTTTGTTGGTCATCATTACTTTTTTTTTCTTTTTTACTAGCTTTTTTTCTTTTCTCTTAACAAGAACGAAAAGTTATAGTTGAAAATCAATGAAGAAAAAGTGGATGTTGTGATTGTTGAAGAGAAAAAAAGAATTTTAGGTTTATTTCGATGATAAACCTGGGTTCGAAGAATGTTCCGTTCGATCATTACAACGAAAAATATATGTGCTGTTGTTGTTCCGTTCATTCCAAGGTTTCTTCACCAATAGTTCTTTCTTTTTTTTGTTTTTCATCTTTTTATTTGCATAACTGTATAGCATATTTAAATGTATATTGAGCAGAAGAATTCTCTGATACAGTAATGAAAAAGAAGGAGTTTAACGATTGGCTTAATTGGTAAAACTAAAAAAAAATCTTTTTTTTACTATTTTTTTTACTATATATCCATTATTAGAAATAGCTGTAAAAAAAGCAACAAATGTTATTTACGAGAGTGTTGACTATGAAATCAACGTTTTTTTACCGTAATAGTTTAGTTTTAAAAAAGCAATAGTTTAAAAACGGCTTTTAATACTTATAACGTTTACCGCACTGGTCACTTTGGCAACCAAATAGGTATAATTCAAGAGCACTGTTTACCGTTGTACTCTAATTAAAAATCTGTAAACGAAATGGAAAAAGCAAAAAGAGAAGAAAAAGAGAAGTAAAAAAAATAAGGGAAAAAAGAGGAAAATTTTATGAGGAAGATAGGGAAATAAAGTTTAGTTAGTTGAAAGGAACCTTTGTTGGTTGGACTGTCGATGAAACTACGTTACATTAAAAAGAATTGTAGTTCAAAAGCCAAATCAGGTTTTCGATGTTTAGTAGCTGCTAGTTTAGACACTAAGGATAACCGTTTAAGATATGCATCATTGAAGGTTGGTTTTTCTGTTACCTTATTTGCTTCTGCTCCAGCTCCTGATCTTTGTTCTGCTTGTTTTTTCTGGTATTTTTACACTTCTAGAAACCATAGTTTTAACTGCTCACTGGTCAGAACTCTTATTCTGAAAACTTTAGCTGCTTTTTTTTCTCAAAAAATCATTGTCATTTACGGCAATGATTGTAATATCTGTGATAATTTCAGTGAAAAATTCTTAACGAATTTGTCTATAAGTTAGTTCTAAGCGATTTTAAAGTATTTTTCAAAAGTTTTTTGCTGTTGTTATTGGTTGCCATTAAAATGCAACTACAAATCAATGATCATTAGTATCGCTGAGGTCATTTAATCTTTTAGTATTTAAATGTTATTGCTAATAAAAGGTACTTGTTTATTAGAGAGAAAAAAGGAAATTTATATAATTTTATTTCAGAAGGGTGCCTATATTATAGCATTTATCTCAGCATTTTTTGTACTGGCAAATTTCGTACTGAAAGCTGCTGGAATATCAGATATTGGATGGAACTGGGAGTTACTATTTTTGTTTGTTGATTTAGTTGCCGTTGCTTGCCTGGTCGGAGGGTTATGGACAGAAAGACCTGCTCTGCTACAGCCTTTCGTCGTCCTCAGTGTTTGTTTTGAGAAAACTAAAATTTTTATCTTTTTCAACTAATTGCTTTAACCTAACAAAT